GGGGGGGGGGGGGGGGGTACTCATAGTCGTGCATGCCGTAGTCGTTTGACCATTGACCTCGCATCCCTACAAAGCCGGGACGGAGCACGCCGGGTTCTCACCGGACCAGGCTCTCACATCACCAAGCGCGAAGCGCCGTGAGGTATTTGGCGAGTCGCATGAAGGGTGAGCTGCATCCTGCTAAAGGCGTTCGGCATCTTGTGCTTACTTCCTTGCGTACGGATGACAGCTACGTATGACTTAATTTATTTTCTGGTGCTTTCACTTCCAGAGACAGTTGTACGCACTGTGTAACTGCCTCGAGGATGCTTGACCATTTGAACACAACGTGGTGCGATCATCCCCCGTTGTGCGGAGTGAGGTTTCTCGACCCCGCACAACATGATCTACTCGACCACCATTATGGTTACCGCCAAAAAAAAAACAGTGGTAAAAAAAACAAACGGTAACCTGGTTGCCGAGTTCACGAAGTGAATTGGCTTGTTTTACAACGTCGTTGCCAAGCGACGAAAACCCAATCCCGATGGCAAACACCGAGGGGAGGGGGGGGGGGGGGCTGCGCTTAAGCCCGCACATGAGCATGAGGGTACTGCTGTAGCAGTAGACGATGCCGAGTGGTTAAAGTAGAGGCGATGAAGACGGGTGTCGAACGTATTGATATTGCTGAACAGAAGTGGTTGATACTGTTGCTGTCGTTTTGCATTTTTAACCGTTCCGATCTGCGCTCGTTAGAATATATGGTACACCACCGCGCTACCCTGTAAACAGACTTTACTCCGTTTGGCCTGTGCCTGCTCTAGCCCAATGACATCAGAACCCCCTCTCTTCTATGACTGCGGCTAAAAGCGAAGGCGATGGCGATTCTAACGCGTCATTTGTTTCTTGGAAGAGAGTGTGTGAGGACCGCGATACTCGCCTTAAACGGGGTGGGAGCATCATGTTATATCGACGGCTTTGGATCGTACAAACCCGAGTCAACGCGGTCATGGCGTGGGGGGACAGTTTTCCCCAACGTTAGATAAGGTCCGAGGGGTGATGTACAACATTTCCCCATCGATGCAATCCACAGGCAGCCGAACAGCTCTCCTGCGCACGCTGCTGTATCTCAACCTCTCTTCGACAGCGTCATTTGGTTTGTGCCCCTTGGCTCCGATGCCGCCCCGCCCCGTCCCCGCCCTCCTTGGCACCCCTCCTCCACGTCAAACTCCCCGTTCTACCTCTCGCATTCGCCCCGTTAAGGCGTCCCGTCGTACAACAGCGCCCGAGAAGCGTACGCGTTGTCACGGTTCGACAGCTTCGCCGAGATCACGTCGGACACGACGGTGCAGGCGACGCTCAGCACGGCCTACGGCAACGACGTTGACCTGCTGGACGCCTACACGGGGGCGCTGGCGGAGACGGAAGAAGGGAGCGGCCTGTTCGCGGGGCCCCTGCTGCGGGTAAGAGCAAGAGGGGGTCGTGACATGAATGCTAGGAGGAAACCGAGCAGGAGGAGTCTTAATTGATCGTCGCTTGCTTGCAAGGAGAAGGGGTACAGCGTCCCGTATCGGTTGTGTCCCGCGTATTGTGTCAACGCGAATCGCGCGGTATTACGTTCGAGAGTTGAGAGTTTGGTACCACAGTTTTGTGAGGGGACTCCTTGCTGTCCTGTCTCTTGAAAATATCACCCCTTTTGACACGGTCAAAGAACCTCGGGCATCACCTGCAAATGGCTTGTCGTTTCGGGTGCTGTTTGGTAGTTCAGCATCCGTGCCGCCGATGGCGTAGCTCGTTGGAGATTCCCTTGGCTTTATCGGAAACAAACGATGGCTATCCAGTCAAGTGTGTAACATACTCTCATTCTTGTATTGTGCACCCTCGGTGACATTTCGCGCGCGAGAGAGAGAGAGGGGAGGGGGGGAGGCTGTGTTTAGCGAATGGGCGTGTCCTGTTTCGACTAGTAGCGTTCGTGCGGCACGAAGGCCGGCAAGTTGTACCCACATGCATGCGCTCGTCGAGTCCCACGTAAGCTGCTCGTGTTTCCTACGGCCAACGGAGTTCCCACCTCGTTGCCCTCTTTCTTCGTTCTTCTGATCCCAGCTTCATTTCCTCCTCGCTCACCGTACCTCCCCACCCCACCCCTCCCTCTCGCGTGTATGTAGATGGTGTTTCTGGAGCAACTTTACAGAGCCATCGTGGGAGACCGACATCACCACTCCCACTCCACCCAGAACGAGGACGCCGCGCTGTCGACTCTGAAGAACCTCATCCTCAACAACTCACTGGTGTCATCCATTCCGCTCGACTCCTTCTCGGCCCCCGATTTGGTGACGTCTTCCAACTGCTCCTCCACCGAGATGAACGAAGTGACGCTCGCAGAAGGGTTAGTGCTCGAGGGGGGGGGGGGGGGGGGGGC